ACAGGAAGTTAAACTGGAACCTAAACAAGAAAGAAAGAGTGAAGAAGGACACAATGGCAATACACCTGCAAAAAAGCCATTGGACTAAAATGGGGCATGAACCCACGTTTAGTTCAATGGATATACCATGTAGCTGTAGCCAAACCAATACTACTCTACGGAGTCACAGTATGGTGGCCGGCTCTGTCAAAAAATACAATCACCCTTTGCATCAGTGGCTCACCGGCTCTCAGTAGAAGGAGGCTAAGATTCTAGGCTCACGTTTTCTAAACGACATTTCATAAATGGCTACTATAGGCCCCAGGAAGATAGCAAACTTTGTAAAAGCATCTGGATGGGAGCACTGCTGACACCGGGACAAACGGGAGGAGAAGAGGAATTAGATCCAAGCGGAATTACAACGGGCCGAAACCGGCCTAAGTGTGTCGGGATTGCAAAATCTCGACAACCGCCTCAACCTAACCTAACCTAACAATTGCACGTGTTTTCTATGGAACATTACTTTTGCACAGCACACCACTGCACAGAGGTTCAAGTTACATGTTATTAACCAAATATTAATAAATCACGTGGTGTTAATGCTTTTTGGTCGTTTTTGCCCTTTTTCGAACAATTTTAAATTTTTGCAGATGCTTATGAGTTCACTCATGCAGAGCTGCTGGAGGTCTGGACAAACAACAATCGTGAAGCAGAAGCAATAAAATGTTATAGTTTAAAGAGTATTGACCAAAACTGAGTAACTAAGATGAAACTATTACAATTCAAACGAAAACTATACAATTTATTGCTTTGTTAAAAAGGTATTACTTTTAACCAAGCAATCATTAAATCAGTCAATCACATATATTTTTGAATAGTTCTAAAAGGTTTTAAAAGGATATTTTATCATAATAAGTTTTTTTAATACCTTTTGTTAATAATAAATACGACGTAAATGGGTTCCTGTTTGTATGGGGGCGGGAGGTAGGCGGCGTCCAAATGACTGCAATTTTTTCCGAAATTCAACTTTAGTCTAACGAACATTCATGCCAATTTGTAGAGCTCTAGCTCTTTTGGTTTGGTTGATGCCAAAAAAACGATCTTTTTACCCATTGTGCATTGTGCATTGGAGGAATCAAAGCCGTTTTGAAAGTAGTCAGCAAGTGCGTGTGATGCTTGAGGACTAGGCCGCGCATGGTTTCAGCACATAATGGGAGATCTGCCGAAGGATCGTCTGCAAGGATCTCGAGCTTTTGAAGTTACAGGAGTGGATTACTGTGGACCCTTCTTCTACCGATCAAAAATCTGCACGAAGCCTTCGATCAAGTGCTGCATTAGCGTGTTTATCTGCTTCACCTCTAGGGCCATGCACATGGAGCTCGTAAAGGAACTGACCACCGCTTCGTTATTGGGCGCGCTAAAGCGTTTTACTTCCACTCGAGGAAGCCCAAGTCAAATTTGAGCAGCTTGAGTTAAGGAAGCTTTATCTGAGCAACTCCCACATAAAGGAGGTCTATGAATCCAGTTTGCTTGACTCGACTGATCCCGCGCTCTCCGCACTTTGGTGGATTGTGGGAAGCGAACGTAAAGACTGATAAGCATCGTCTGTACCGCTCCGTTGGGGCATCCATCCTTAGTTTCGGCGTGCTGCGTACTTTGATCTACCAGATCAACGCAATCGTTAATTCTCGCCCTTTGCTCTCGCTTTCAGGAAATCCCGATGACCTAGACGTTTTATACGAGCATCCAACGGGGGATTATGCTCGGGCCAGCAGTTCTTTTATCTAATAACCATAGCGCTGTAACTTCTAGCTGCTTTCCAACATAAGTTTAACATATATTAAGATAAGATCGCGTTGTAAAGTCTTACGCTCGGTAGCGCTTCTACGCTCTTCACGAGAAAGTGCGCTCTGCACCCGACGAAGCGCCTGCAACCAATATTCTGTGCTAATCTCTCGCCGCATAGGGTTCAAATCAAACCCTCTAATCGTTTATCTGGCCGAGCGAAAGAGAGAGCAGCAATAACTTTTTAACCCAAATTTGTTTCTCTTTCTTATACCTGCTACTCGAAGCGTAAATAGGGTATATTGTATTTTTGCACAACGTGGATTTATGTAAGGCAGAGAAGGAAACGTTCCCGACCCCACAAAGTATATATGTTCTTGATCAGCATCAATAGCAGAATCGATTGAGCCATGTCTGTCTCTTCGTCCGTTTGTCCGTCCGTCCGTCTGTCCGTCCGTCCGTCTGTCAGTCCGTCTGTACTTCCGTCTTGTGGAGCGTCTGGATTTTAGAGACTATAAAACTAGAGCCACCTAATTTTGCATCTAGATGTCTACTGTTATAAGTGTCAAAAATGATCCCCGCCACCTTCCGCCCACGCATATTGCGAAAATCTACTGTATTCACAATTATAAAGATAAAAGAAAACTAAAAACGCCATTCGATAGGGAGAATTCGAGGACATATCTAACAGATCATTGCGATCAGACTGGATCATTATTACAGCCTGAATGAATTAATTAATTTGCAGTGGTTAAAACCACTCCGTGCAGCAGTTTTTATTTGATTTTTTGCACATTCTCTCTCACTCTGCTTTTGTGTAGAGCGTAGCTCCAGGGGGGGCGAGCGCTTCGGGGAAAAAAACGTGTTGGCGTAAGAAGTGATGTACAAAAAATCTAAAATTTGGAAAAGAACCACTAAGCTACAGATGTAAAAGCTTGTGAGACGCTTTTTACGCGTCTATATATACGTATAGGACTGAGTACCGGTTATAAAATTGTGAGTTGGGATCATGTATCATGTATGATCATTTACATGTATATTTCTCTAAAACGAGAAGGGACGTGTGAGATGTGTATATATATATCCCTAGACCCACACACTGCCGACTTGCAGCAGAGGCATAGGCAGCGCACTCACACAAAATAAAAAAACAAATATAAGCTGTGGGATGGGGGGGGTTAAAAGTCGGCAGAGGCAGCGGCAAGGGGAGGGCAGAGGCAGAGGCCGAGTGAAGCAGAAGCAGAGTGTTAATGAGAGAATATAAAAAGAACAACAAAAGCTGCGGGACAGGGTGGGCTTAGCCACTGCAAATTAATTTCTTCATTCTGGCTATAATAATGATCCAATCGGATCCCAATTTGGTGATCGGATAGATATGGCCATTCCCTACGGAATGGCGTTTTTAGTTTTCTTTTATCTTCAAAATTGTAGCTTTTGTAGGTTTTCGCTCTTTTGCGAGGGCGGGGCTAATTTTTGAAATACACTGGTTTCAGCATACAGCAGTCCGGAGCCAACATTTGGTGGCTCTAGCTCTTATAGGCTGTGAGAACTAGCCGACAAACAAGACGGACAGACGGACGGACGGACAGACGGACATGGCTCTATCGACTCGGCTATTGATGCTGATCAAGAATGTATATACTTTATGGGGTCAAAAACGCTTCCTTCTGTGCGTTACATACAACAGTTATTCACACAAATACAATATACCCTATTTACTCTTCGAGTACCGGGTATAACAATGTATGACATGTTCTTCGGTTCTTTATGTTGTATTAAACAAGCACAACGTTAAAAAACGAACTTATCTGTCTCCTTTACGATCAACATAAGATACTTCCGTTACATCTACTAAGGCTTAGAAAAACTCTAATGTGTATGAAAAAAATAATCAATAGGGGAAACAAATTCTTGGCGATATATATATTTTCTACTGAAAGGGAGCTAACTGCACAATTTCCGCTATGGGAGCTGTCACGCGGTGAGCTATAGCCGGATTCGTTACGGTAATTGGGAGTTCTAGTGAGGTGGGTACGCCACTAGTGTTTTTGGCACCGAGGACGGCCAAACTGTCATCCAGGTTAACCTCGCCCAGGGGAGAGACACGTCTCAGCTGCACAGCGCTCGGATTCTCCAGCGTGGACATTATAGGCGTCTGGTTAAGAAGTGCATTCGTTTCGTTGGTGCGAGCCGTGATGGGTGGTGTGAGGTGTGCAGCAGCTGGCGGTAGCACGTGTGAGACAAACACGACGCCATCGGACTCCTCGTCGCCAACGTCTATGAGGCCAGTGCCGGCAGAGCTTCGTGTCTCTATGTGTAGCAAAGCCACACTAGTGTTGGTGGCGTTTACATAATCGGTGTCGTTGACCACTTGGCAGTCAGCAAGTGCTTCGGCCAGCAGGTCCGTGCCGGGGACTGTCATTTCCGATGCTCTACAGACTTCCTCCTCGTCTAAGGTCATATCTTCCACATTGACCAGCTGCAAGTCGCGCTCCTGAAGGTATGCCTGGGCTGCCTGAAGTATATCGCGCGCATGAAGCACGGCCCTGACACTGCTGGCGCCAGTCTCATCGACAGTTAGCTCAATGCAAGAATCTGGCTGTTCTGCAATGGTAAAAAGGACTGAAGGGTCCAGTTCAAGGCGATGCCCGTTGACATTTAGCTGCAGTACGTTAGACTGTAATTGGTCCTCGTGCAGCGACAACTCCTCGTCTTCATTGATGGTGTCACCAAAACTGGCCGAAGGCATAACCCCTTCCACTTGGCTTAGGGGCGTCATGATA